AACCAGCAGAATTTTATCTGTGGATATACATTTTCAAAAAATAACAAGAACAAAAAAAACAACAACAACAACGAGAAAAGCATTCTTATTGTTTCGATAAGACCTTTTGCAGCATCTCACATCAAGCGCGACGCTAAAATGCGGTGGCGCCAAGTCGGGTGCGTCTGTCACTTGGCGGCGGTCTTGCCGAGCTTCAGCGTGTTTGCCCCTTGGGGCGGGCCCACTAACGGTGACGTAATGCGCAGGCCTTGTCTCCTATAGCTGGCATTGCTTTGATCCTGGTATCCTCACTGACAGCTTTAGACGGCATCCATCCAGTCCCGGGCATCTTATTATATCTCCGATAATCAACGGGGTTGCGACACTCGTCACTCAGAACGTCGAGAAGAAAATCACCAAGCAAGAAGCACATCAGAAGCGAACAAGGCGTCAGTGGCTTGAGTGCAGGGAGATTCAAGTTTCGCGTTGCAAGCACCATCCGAGCCTTGCAAAAGCCAGCTATTGAAACCCGCTGCAATGAGCCCGCCCAATTCGCAACATGCGGCCTCATGCAACAGGCGCCATTATTAATACCAAGTAGCAGCAAGAAAGGAAAGAGCCACGGTCTGCACAATTCCTGGAGCAATTGTCACTGTCGAAAATTCTCTTCCGTCAACGTGCCCGCAGGAGGCTCGATGAAGTGGCAATGTACGGAGGGAGCTCGGAGAGTGAGGGATACGACGAAAAGCGTTTCGACTTCTTCTCACCCTTAGCATGACTCGAGCCAGGCCCGTAGCCAAAGGGGGGGCATGGGGCCCGACCCTCCCCCCTCCCCCCCCCCCCCCCCGGAATCTTTCATTTTGCTGGGGCCTCCTCTCCGCCCTCCCCCTCATACGACATTTTGTCATAGCCGCCCCCCCTCCCCCCCCCCCCCCCCCCCGAAACAAAATCCTGGCTACGTGCCTCACTCGAGCGTATGGGATGAGGACGATTCGTCACATGCGCACTCGTCACAGGACGTTTTTCACAGGACGATTCGTCACATATGAACATTCGTCACAGGATGACTCGTCATGTGGGCAACTGGTCACATGGATCGGGGAGGGGACGATAATAAATTTAAATTGTAAATTTCAACAACTGCCCACATTGCCTGATGAGAAGTTTCACGACTTCCCACTGTGACATAAACCAACGGTTAGAAAAACTAATCTTACAATACTCATCTGCTTCTCCTTTCACCATATTACGAGTATTCAGCAGGTTGATCGCAGTTGCTGGCTTGAACGAGCCAGCAACTGAGATCCCTCGTCGGTCCGACTGGCAGCCAAATCAGTTCTTACATTGGCCTTGCATACACCTCTTCGACAAAACCAATAAGTACCGGAATTCTTTCTGCCGCATGTGTACGAGTACCCCTCGTGCAGCAGCATGGCTCCACCTCTCTGTGTTGCGATCACCTCCATCCTTTTGAATGTAGTCCGAGTTCAAAAAATAATCGCTTTTATATGGCCTCCCCATTCACCGTTCGGGACAGACCTAGAAGCTGAAACGTCTGTTACAAATTCTTCGACCTTGAGAAGCGAAAGACATGCTAAAAGAAGAGGTGACCCACTTTGTCAGGCCGAACTAACATTCAATGTTCGGGAACGAACCAGACACTAAAACATTTGTTACAAATTCTTCGCCTTTGAGAAGCCAAAGAAATACTAAGATGTGAGGTGGGCCGTTTTGTCCGCCCGAACCAAATTGAAGAATAAATATTTGGGGGGACGAACTATTGTGGGACCGGTTGGCCGCGTGACGAGTCATCCTATGACGAATGTTCCAGTGTGACGAATCGTCCTGTGACCAATCGTCCTGTGACGAGTGCGCATGTGACGAATGGACCGTATCCCCGAGCGTATGAAGCTTCATGCTCGGTGTCACCGACAACAGTATAGCTCTGAGTGGACATGATTTTCTGGTCGGTTCAATCGCCGAGCTCTTTCTGTAGGTGGCAGTCATTGGCTTTAGGAGTGTCCCGCAAAAAAATAAATGCACGCCCAAATTATTTTTTTTTTAGAGTTGCACAAATTGGGCTTGTCTTCGACGACATCGGCAAGCGAAGTGTGCCGACTTGCTAGTAAAGTTCGGCATTTGTTTTATTGGAAATAAAACAAATGCCGAGTGCGCCGGTGGCACAACCAGCGTTTCACTCGCTCACTGTCCACGTGGTGTATATCACATATTCGAGATCTAACTTTGTTCTGAGATTCGCTGGGATCCTTCCGGGGTTCGCCGTATTTGACGGCTACTTGCGTGTTCTGCGGAAAAGTGAAACCACGGTCCTTTTCTTAGTAAAGAGAAATACTTTACTAGGGGAATACATCCTACTCCCCGATAATACAATGGCTTCGGCGCGGGCAGGTTTGGCGCAGTTTGAATGGATGGATGACCAGCCACCTTGGCTTTTTTCCGCATTTAATTCGGAGTGATGGGAGACGCCGCCTATTTCCATGGAAGTCGCGGTTATCAGGCATTCCCGCCGGTGGTCGAAAGGCGCGCCGCAGGCCGTTCGGTCGAAGCAAGAGTTTGCTCAAAATTTGTTGTACCTCGTTCCCCAAACATTTTTAGGGCAAAAAGATGTCTTTTTCGGCGCGGCGAGACGTTCAATCCACCAGGGGAGAAATTGGCGCAGTAGGCGCGCCGTCTGATGGAAATGAGCGGAATAGGATGTATTCCCCCTAGTAAAGTATTTAGTAAAGCGCACGCAGTAATATCGCAATATGGGCCATCTCCTTCGCGCGTGCCACCTTTTGGTCGGGCCCTTGCCTATAATCTGGACGGATGTCGCAGCTGCTCGTCGCGGCACCGACGTCAGCTGAGTGCAGCTCCAGCCTCCACCGTGGTAAGGAGAAACTGGCGCCACAAGGCGACAGTGTCAGAAAGGCGAACATACGTACGGGGTGAGACGAAAGTTTCTCGATCTCGAAAGACGGCCAGATGGCGCCACCACTGTCGGTGGCGTACGCCGTGCACCCTCCTCCCCCCCCCCCCCCCCCCCCCCCCCATTTTTTTTTTTTTTCGGTTTGTTTGCTAGGTTGTTGTCTCATCGCTCGACACGTTGCCGTGCTGGCCGCTCGGAGCGGCCAGCACGGCACCGTTCGAGCAGACAAGTCGCGCGCGCTATACTTCACAACAACTGCGCTTCGCGTGATATTACCAGTGCACTAAAACAGAAACAGCACGTTGACTGAAATGTATTTTTTATTGAACACCATTCAAATGAGTTGCGGTATTTCAAGCACGTATTTACAAACTCAGTTGATAGTCCACCGTCCTCCAAGCGGAACCAAAAACTAGTAGGCAGTAAACGCTGTCAAATATGTAAAACCGAATTATCTAAATGGGTCTATAGGCAGCATAGTAACAATGCACCAACAACTCCTTTACCCCAATGCCCTCAGAAATAAAAAAAAAGGCGTTCAGACTTGTATTTTGTTTTTCCGGGGGGGGGGGGGGGGGGTACGTATTTCTCAAGAAATGTAACGAAATACATTTCACCCTGATTGCATCGCGATAAAAAGAAACATTCCACATGTATTTGATACAGGAATAGAGATATTGGTGAAAAAATGTATTGCGATACAGAAATACAGATACGAAATGCATTGCTGCAATGCGATACTGAACAACCCTGTTGTGCTTCCGGCATAAGCCGCTGAAAGCTGACATATCAAACGCATAAACAATTGCAAAAAATGCTAAATTCCTCAAAAAAGCACTGATTTTACTGAGCTCACGGCGCTGGATTACCTGGGGGGACTGGTAGCATCCGCAGCGGTCCGTCGCAAGGGGAAACAAAGTATGCAGAGACTAAAGTCAAAGAAAATGAGCGGGAGTCCGCTAGCTTGCTTGTAACCCTAACCCACCTGAATGTAAAGCATATAATACAGAAAACAAGCGTCGGAACGAAAACCAAGTAAAAGACGAACCTACACGTAAAAATGCAATATATATATAAAAAAAGAAAACAAGCGTCGGAGCAAAGCGCAAGAGGAGAAGAGAGAAGTGAATCTCGCTTTGTTTTAATGCCGAAGCAAACCCAGATTTCGCACTTCAAAGGAGTGCGCGCGAATGAACGTGGAAGGCAGCAGGGTTGGCCACCTGCTAAACAACGCTCCTTGAACAATAAGAAAACAATAACTGATCCTCATTCGGTGGCGCGCGAGACAACGAGTTACCAGAGCTCTGCGAATTATGAGCCGCCCCCGCTCTCACATCTGTCTTTGCGCGCGCATGCTTTCTCCATGCCGTCACAAATATATATATATATATAGCGAGACAAAAAGGACGATGAGGGGCCTTGCATGGCTGTTTCTCTCTTTGCCGCACCCTTCGTTTATTTTGCTTGGTGCTTGGTTTCTTGTTTCGCTTTCGTGTAACACCAGTGAAGCCTGACGCCAGCGCGTCCGTGAAAAGCGCCTCCGCCCCCCCCCCCCCCCCCCCCTTGCTCTTTGCTTTGACGCTTCATTTTTGTATTCATTTTATTTCTGAACAACTGACTGGCTGACTGGCTCGGTATAGCTGAACGTAAGCCCCCCCCCCCCCCCCCCTTCCCAAGAAAAAAAAATAATAATAAATAAATAAAAATATATATGTAAAGAACCGGACGCATTCCATTCCCATTCCATTCCGGGCAAAAGGCATCTAATTCCATTCCCATTCCATTCCCCTCAACGTTGCCGCCCACTCCGTTCCCTTTCCATTCCGGGGTCGCGAAAATGCGGAATCATTCCAACTCCGGAGTTGCAACTCCGCAACACTGGAAGAGCCCAGAGTGCTTCGGTTTCGGTAGCAAATATCATATACACGACGCCAGCGTTCAGAACCACAGCGGCGAATATAGGCATAACAGTCTGGTGTGAGTCGGCTGGGTAGACCTACGGATCTCTTCTTTGGATGGACGCACGAGAAAGAAGCCAGCGACGCGGCGCTCCTATCGGCCCAACCGGGAACTCCGTTCGCTGCATTCGGCTGCCGAGGTCTCCTTGGAGGGCACGTGACAGCGGCGTCGTCTCACCCGTTATCGGGTGGGGGGATCCCGGCCAACTGGGCAGCCCGGCAGCCCAACGCGCATTTCCCTCCACGCTCCGCACGTGAGAACATGCGGCATCTTGGTTCTCCCGGCCAACCCTCACACCGGCTCCTCCGCTATCGCCCGCTGCCTGCGCTGCCCTGACTGCACCTCGTCACTGCGATCCCTCGCTCCGCTCTTTTGTCTCAGGTATTCAACGTTCGTCGTAGCACTCGTTTGTTCCTTGTTTTTTTTTCAGTTAGCGCATGCCGGTCGAGCGCGAAGCCTCCGGCTTGGCGTTCCGACCGGCAAGCGCGTTGAACCATTGATGCTCTCACGTGGCTCGTTTGCCAAAGTGGCCAGCAGATGCCGCTTAACTCTCAATCATGCGCGCTCGACTGCTCTTTTTGCAAACGGTTGAATGGTCTGTGCTGGAGGATTAATTTTCTCTCCCGTGGGTAGGGGGGCTGAACGCCCGTGTGTACCGTTTAATTGAATCGGAATTGCTCGAGTTTCCGCAAGCCTTGCACGCGCGTTTCTTGCTCCCTCAACACCGCCGGAGAAAGTTGTCCCTGACCATGGGGCTATAAACTCCTTCGAAATTCACGTGCCCATTGTTAAAAGCTGTGAAGCACTGCAGAATGACGGGACAAGCGTCACCAGAGAACTTGAGATTCTAAAACTACATTAACTAAAAATGAAGTGGCATTTATAGAGTTTCTAGGGTTCCAAGACTGGCGGTGTGTTTTGTGTCCGACATTGAGCAGTCCTTCCACAGCTTCCAACAGAGGGCACACTTTCGAAAGGCGTCTATTGTGGGTTCATGTACGGAAGCCCGAGCTCGTATCTTTACAACATGCCACTTCGTGATGCCCCCCGTGCTCATGCGTGCACACGAGGATGGACAGCACCAGAACCTTGCTCGCAGGGTTTTATCCCGTATTATTACTGAGTGTGTGTGGGTGAGGGGGGGGGGGTACTTTACATGGAAGCTCGGGCGAGTTAGTGATACGTGACTGAGTTCATACTATACTCCTTTTGTCCTTATGTGTAAAGCGCGTGTGTACGTTAAGTTTTTGTTCCGGGGGTGCGATATATTCTAGTACTTGGCGTAGGAAATCGGACACTGGGAATGGGCATGCATTGAGGGGTCGATCTGCCCGTGCTATGTGGCATACTGGTTCAACGCTGCTAGTCTGGGATATCTTAGACGTGCCTCAGGCTCCAATTATTACCCGACTGCACGCAGGGACGAGCACTGAACCCAGGTTGTCTGGGTTCTCGGCAGCGCCAGCATTGGGTCCAGTTGCCCGGAACTGCGGTGCACTGACACACTCGGCCGCCGATCCCCTCCTCCCTTCACGCACCGCGGCGTTACGCCGCACTCGGCGCACTTCTCGTAGGAATTCGTAGGGCACTACCCTTGAACTGATAGGCGGTCATTTGAACGCCTCTCGTCTCTACCTCGATAGCGTCCGTAATCGCAGTGTTGAGAGCTTTTCCGGTTCGCGCTCTGACGATCTCCGAGGTCAGGCACCCGGCGCGGCGTCGACGGAGCCGCGATTGAGAGTGAAAACGGAGTCGGACAACGTGGAGCGTTTGCGCGCGCCTCTCGGCGCACCGAATCTGACCACGTGCTGGAATGTACAGCCGGTAATCACGGCCCCCTTTTTTTCTTTTTTTCCCAGCGACGGCTGCTATGAGCTGTTCCCACCACTGGGAATGGCGTCCTTCGTTGATGTAGAACATGCTGTAGTTGGCGTTGTAGGGCGTCCGTCGTCGATGTTGCCGAATTCTCGAAAAAGATCACCCGACACCCGCGCGAATCAAACCACACTACGTGCAAAGTGGAGCATAAAAGTGATTGTGTCGCGTGAACGTTTAGACAGCCGGAAGTTCGTCAACCCCAGTGAACCTGTGGTGTCTCCGCTGTAGACGAGAAATTTAGCCAGTGCAGTCCAAACCGCTAGCCTAGGGTCTTGAACGAGAACTACCAAATGGTGATGCACGACCGCACGCCGGTACGATGCTCATCAATGCGCCGTCATCACTCTGAGGTGGGTAAAAGAATATCGAGGGTCGGCGCTCCCAATGAATTGATGTGGAGTGTGCCTGCAGGCCTCTTCCTGAGTGTGCGACAGAGGCGCCTGCTGCCGAGTGTTGTTCACGTCATCCATGCTGGTTACTTAGAGGTGAAAGCTCACTCGACGTCATTTAATACGTATAATGATCTCGCATTATATAACTTCATCACGTACATTGCTGGTGTACTCAAGTCCATAAATAATGCACTGAAAAAACAGTTTCCATTTTTGCGTATACGCCTCTGTGATTCGAACATTTTTCGTACTAGTAGGTTGCGACATGAAATTAATTCAGCTGTGATCCCACACACGACGAACGCCATGAAGCTGACGCAATAGCCGTATGACTTTCACCTATCGATGTCCGCCGCCATGGTAGCGATTTTCACCGCGACGTCTTGAAATCTAGTTCAAGATGTTACGCGCGGCCTTTGGTAGGCACTACGCAGGCGCCCAATCATCGTCCGCGTGCGTTCTGTGCCCCTTGTTTTTCTGTGCCCACTGTTGCCTGTAGACATAGGTTGTATTCGCTCCGTTTTACGAACACGGCAGTGAATTCATTACAAAGATAAAATTTGAAGCAGGATTGAGTGAGCATGTCTGGTAGCGTTTTCAATTTTTTATTATTATTTTTTTTTTTTCAACGAACGCAGTGGCGCCGTCTATTAGGTATACCCCCGGCACACTTCCGGTTCATGTATATTTCCAAATTTTTTGCTCATAATTCTTTTACTACAAGACTGAATGAAGTTAGACAGTGCTGTAAGTGGCCATTTCCAGAAGATAGCGAGTATATTTGATTTCGCAACTACTGCGAAACCCGCCGTCTAGTTCAGAACCGGAAGTGGTTGGGGGAAATTCGCACGCTGGCGCCACCACGTTTCAACTCTCGCGAGAAAGAGCGAATTAAACGAGAATATTTGAAACGTTCACGCAATTTTACAATGCAATATCTTGCTTGAGATATATGCGAATTTTTTTTAGTTTATACGAAGCATTTAAGACGGAACTACGTTTATGATTTTGTTTTTGTGCTCATAGTTTGATGTTTTCTTTTATAATATGAATAAAAGCGCCTTAATAGGTACGGATGAGGTTAGAGGAAAGGCCTATTTTAACACAAGTCATTATAAGATATACTGTGTGCGGTATACTGCGCTCCACTTAACGCAGTGCGCTATCCAAAATCCTTACCAACTGTGGTCTGTAATAGTCTATAATAGTCGGCCCATGCCTTTTACCGCGCCGTTCGGATCTCTGAAGGAGGAGGTAGAGCATTGGTTAAGATCGTCAAAAACCTACCAATTGCTTTGCTGTCAAGCACAGTGAGCTCTAAGCCAAATAATATACAGTCGCGATTCATATGAATTTGAGCACGCGATCGACGACACTTGGTTCGCAAAGCGCACACACCGCCACAACCGCCGCCTCATGATGCACTCTGCACAGAAAGATCAGTAGGGTCAATGATTACGTGTTCACCTTAATATGTATCAAGACTCTACTGTCATTGTTAACAGCACCGTATTGAAGCATTGAGGCTCCTTTACGGTCCTTTTATAGCACTGCTGCCGGGAGAAATGGGGGAATCAGGCCATCCCTCGCTCACAAACCGGCTGCATGGAAATTTTTCATCTGGTGTTTCGAGAGCCATGGCATATAGTTGGTTGTTTGCAGATGGAGCGCGACATAAAGACCTCCCTTCGGTTTGGAGTATAGCTAACCGTCGGAGGGACTGTAAGACAGGTATTTCATACATCGGCGTTTAAAGTTTCATTCTTACGGGGAATTGTTGAATATGCTTCTATGTTTAGCGCTTTTAGACGTGACAGGGAGAGAGAATGAATAAATAAATGTTTAATACAGGAAGTTACACCGAGTTCCCTTGACTTGAGTCATCTGGTTGGTTAACAACCATAAACCTCAGACAGTCCATTTCGACCGTCTCGCACCGTACCACCTTAAGTGAACGCTTATGCAGGCCTCGGGACGAACAGCTGTACAGGGAGAGGTGCAGAGTTGTGGAACACGAACGGTCACGCCGCAAAGAGTATTATGGAAGACGATGTCTTGCAACACAGCAAGAAAGAAGAAGATGAGCCAATGTGTTTGTGAAGGAATAAATGCCATTAGAGGCTGACGGCGGAACCTGACGAAACAAGGCCTTCGAATTACCTAGTGTCGTAGCGCAAAATCCCGGAACACGTGGGTTCGCTAACCACGTCGGATTGTTTGCCTGTCACACGACATCCTCTATACTTACGACCACGTCACCCGGGGCGCGCCTATGAGGAGGGTTGTCCCCTGATGCGGCTGATATAGTTTCGCGCCATCCCACTAGATGGTGCCATTACTTGGCTGTTCATAGAGTGCCTTCATACACACGCGCGCTTTTGCTTGAGTGGTGACATCTCGGCCATTTTTCCGCCCAATCGTTCTTTCTATGCATTTTGAAGTGCGCGCAATCCGGTGTCACTCAGCACGAGCGCGTAGCTTTGGCTAATGCATAGACGCCATTTTACCGCCCAAGTCACGCACCAAGTGCGCGAGAGCGTCACGCGCTGGCACATTCAGGGTAACAATGGATGTCTTCACCCTGAGACAGACAGACATGTAGGCACCCTAGCTGTTCAAGGAGTGCTAGAAATGCCCTGCGGAAAGGGGGTATGTGTGGTCCCGGTGCGGTCGCAAATTGTTTATGAATGATTTCCTTTCACACCATTATTTAACGATAATTCACCGAATGAAGGACGCTACTCTCAAAGCACCCATTTTAGGGCAACTCCGCTCGATTCCGACAAATTTAGGCTTACATGTGATTCAAATTCAAAGAGCACTACTAAACAACTCTACGTCTTCGGATTCGCAAATGGTGGAATATTATTTGTGTAGTCCTAATTTAAACATGAGCTGATACCGAAACCGAAACTTCGGCTGCGTCAGGCAACATTGGTCTCGGGTCGTCAGAGTCATGGCACGTCACGTCGAACCACGTGGTCTTATGACGTTCGGGAGGGAGCGAGGGACAGCGCGACGCGGGCAGGTGGCTTCGCATGGCGTGGACGGTGATGGCCCGGGGGAGGGGGGGAAGGGGAGAAGACGAAAGAGAAAGAGAGCGGAGAAACA